CTGCTGAAAAATTCAACTTTGCCATCACAGATATAAATTACATTTTCAAATTTGTTCAAATGGAATAGTAATTTTAAATTATAATACCATGTCATTACTGTTTTTACTGTATTTTGGTGAGCATAAGAAACGTCTATCAAAAACATTAACAACCTCAAACTTATAAAGAGTAATAACTGTAACATATTATTTCACATGCTTATTTCTCAGACATAACTGAGAAAACAAAGCATGAATATACTTTATATACTTATACTTTTTACTTTTAGTTCTATATGCAGGTATCTACTGTAGCTACTAACTTGCTACTAACCATCTTGAGCAAACCATCTCTAATTCTTCCTCAGAAGTGCTCATTATTTAAACTCAAACTGATAAACGTGCCCCCCTTACTCTTGAAAACTGTGTAAAGCCAACCAGTCTAATTGCAAATGTTGATTTCTGCCAGTGTTTGCCATTTTTTTTATGTGCAATATTCATCATATGGTCAGCAACACATGGTCCGTGAGCGTGCACTGAGGATGAGACAATAAAAACACCAAGTGTTTGAGAACTAAATGCTATTTCCTTTGATTTTCTGTTTCTGTCAACTGAACTGAGCTCTTTCGTTCTCCTGTCACAGCCACTGTCACCTATTGAACACAACGGGCCTGGTCTGGAGTACAAAGTAAGCTACAGAAGACAAGGCACTGGAGAGGACTGGATGGAGCACATGGTGAAGAGGCACTCGTTCGTTGTTAAAAACACCCCAACGTTCATCCTTTACGAGATCAAAATTCAGGCCAAGAACCATGCGGGCTGGGGTCCAGACCCTGAAATAATCACAGCGTACTCAGGAGAGGATTGTAAGTAGGAGCAACCTCCATTGTGTCTGAGTTGTGGAGATGAGCATGCATTCAAATAAGCCAATACCATTGACATTTCACTCACTGTCAAAGCATTGTGCATGTTTACCTTTGAGAGCATACAAAGCAGGTGAAGATTTTGAAAGACGCATCTTATTTTTTTTTTCTAACCTATTGTTTGTCTGTAAGGGTCTTACTACATTGCAAATAAGCTTTGCCTGTAAACGGAAACACATAACCCCCCCCC